TTCCTAAACATCATTTGGATGTTTAAATTTTATGAAAACGCTAATAAATACCGACTAAAGATCATGAAAATGAAAAAAATCTTCCGATAAGTGTTCAAATTGATCTTATTTCATGACTTAAGGAGAATATTTTCGGCTTGAAGTTCCTAATTTTACGATTCGGCTTGAAGCCCCATCGGCTTGATGTCCGGCACCCAAATGGAATAACTGGACGCTTATATTCTGGAATGTTCCAGATAAATCACAATGTGACTGGGTGCCGACTAATGTGTTCGTCATTTTGAGCCTAAGAGCCGCGATGTAAATAAAACTGCTACAAAAATTGCAAAACAGCAAACTACGGGATGATATTATAACAATCATGAACTGTTAAGACTGGCAATTTTTTCCTAAAATGAACCCACAATTTAAGAAAACTGGATCTTTCGGAACATTTTTCACTCCGCTGTTAAATCTAAAAATTAAAATCCATAGTCGAAACTAGAGACCGATCACGTTTTTTCGCGCCATTTGCACAAACGTAATTGGAGAGCGTAGTTTGTCTCTCTTTTGGGAAATGAATTTCAATTATTGCATATGAACATAAAGGCTTAAATGAATGCATTAAAATGCATGACGACATTCTGCAATTATTAGATTATTTTAAAACTTTTTCCTGAACACAAACAAACACAAAACTCTGCAAGACCTAATTAAGGGAAAACAACTACGTTGGTCAGACAAGAGATATGCAACAAACATCAAAAAAAAGGAAAACACTTGTTCTAAATATTTTTACTCAACTACCAACTGACAATTTGATCTCTTGGTAATGACGCTGCCCACCAATCATAATATTGCGGGTTCAAAGTGCACGACCGCTATAATAAGCTAGGTTGGTTCTTTGAAAGTACTTCGGAGAATTCTTTCTATTCGTTCTTGAAAGAAATGCAACCCCCACCTCAAAGACCGAAAAATTCTTTTGCTAATCAAACGAATCAAATGAGGCCACTAAACCCGTAAAACATTAGCCGAAATATCTTGAGCCGAATAAAAAAACTGATATTAAAACAAAAGTGAGGTTACAAGTAACATTTAAAAAATCGATTAAAAGATGTATCTACACAGAGGCGAAACTTCTCTTCGCAAAACACTAGTCGAAAGGACCTTTTCAACGCGGAAAAAAATGAAGGAAACTGAACAAAACCATGTATAATGAATTTATAATAACAGGAATAAAAAATAGGCTCCAGGTTGAAACAGAACCCCGTAACCCCGTCATCCCAAGCATGGGCGTTACCTCCAGGCTGATCGCGCAGAAACCGTCATTCTATTTCAATTTAATAAAAAAAAGCACAACATGTCACCTTCAAGTTCTTAGCAAAGTTTTCGTGTTTTATTACCCGATTAAAATACCTTGGCGAATCGCAGAAGAAAGAACCCGACTCAATTGATTTATTATACTTGATTCTGATTTTAAAAAATAACTGGACGCTTATATTCGGGAATGCTCAAGATAAACCAATGTGTGCTGGGTGCCGACTAATGGGTGTGTCATTTTGAGCCTAAAAGCCGCGAAGTAAAAAAAATACTACAAAAATTGCAAAACAACAAACTACGGGATGATATTATAACAATCAGTGATGTGATAACAATATAAGGCTTCGGTAAAATTTATAACTAAGTTGAACTGGCGCGCCTGAAAACTCTGACACACTAAGCTAGACTTTTTTTTTACTTACGGGTCATTGGCGTTTGCGTTATCACCAGCACTGTCCACGCCGTCAACACCATCAACCCCACCGGGTGTCTCCGTCGGCTTGTTGTCGCTCACTGGCTCAACCGGCGTCTGTTCAACAGGCGCGTCTCCCCCAGCGGCCGACTTATCATTCTCAACATCTGCCATTTTTCGATCCCAAATTGACTCGATTTGTTTTTTTTGTAAGTCTTTCTCAGAAGTATTTTTCTGCTTCTATTTAATATTTCAAGTGTAATATGTACGTGCAAAGTGTGTAGTTATATAACACAGTGTTGTAATACAGTCTACTGTACAATACAAACTAAACCTGAAAAAAAACTCATTCATAATTAATGCTTCCTTCGCCGACAGAACAAAATATCTCGCGTTTTACCAGGAAAGTTGACTATGGCATCCAAATTCATGACATTATTTAGCTGATTTCTGAATTGATCCGAAATCTGCTAGAAAACTTTGAATACAACGGCCTCAATTAAACCCATCAAAAGATGGCTTGATTTTTTCATCATAACCAAATTAGAGTTACTCGCCTAATGGAGGAGCCGGTCCAATTGCAGAACGAGCCGAGCCTGATAACTAAATACGATAATACATTTGCAACTCAAATCATTCACACATTCACCGCCTTTACTTGAGCAGAGATGTTGAGCAACAAATTTCGAAAAAAGCAAAACGGAGCTCCGCAACACATTCGACATTTAAATTCATATGCCTAATTGAAAAAAGAAACACAGTCAACAGAAGTTGGAAAAGATCCAACAGAAGAAAAAAACAGACCTGTTTTTCAAAAAAAAAATTGAATTTCAAAAAAATATTGGCCTTGAAGCTTTGAAGTTCAAAGCAATTTATAATTAACCATGAAAACTGAAACTATAGGTAAAGTAACTATCCGCTGCAAAATCTGAAAATTAAAATAGACTTTCGAAAATGAGAATCAATCACGTTTTTGTGACTTTTACACTTTTGCTGTTCCATTGCCAAGTTAGCCTTCTTTTAACAAAAGAAGTGAACTGAACTTTAAAAGAAATCAAAAGACAAACAGCAAAAAACCAAATTTGAGTGTGAACACAATTTATAACTTTCTGAAAAATATTGATTAAAAATATACCACGACCTATTTGAGTCTTCAATACGTTCATAGATTCTTTGAACAAAAAAGGAAAACCGTTTACCAAAATAGCTGTTCAAAATTGTTGGTTAAAAAATAACAACTCGTTAGAAAAAAAGCTCAAATATTTCATCAAACTTTTTTTGCAAAATGGCACAAAAAAGCTAGCGTCTGCTCAATTGCTCAAAAAGCTAGCGTCTGCTATAGCACTCGACCAAATGCCACGCTGTACATGTACACAGTTGGCAAACTTTATTAAGAAAAACTTCAAATGAACCGTTTTGCAGTGCAACACATTCTCAGAACTTGTTTTAAATTAGTGTCTTTTCTTGCGTGTCATGTGGCGATAGAACCATATGAGCGCGAACCATACAATGCAAACGTGTCTTCGCAAAAAAAATTAAATGCTAACTTTTTTTAAAATTTTTTGCAATTAAAATTTTAGATATTTTTTGAGCTATTTTTGCAAAAGATGCGCTAAATGATGCTTCCAAAACTAGTTTTCCTTTGAGTAAAATCAAGTTTCTTTGAGATTAAATAACTTATTTTCATTTAGAATGAACATTACTCGATCGCTTTACTCGTTGAAAAATTGACAAAATTTCAAAAAATGTTAACCATTTTTTCTCGACATTGGGACAACTTTCTGAAAACTCTTTAAGATCGTTCAAATCACAACTGAATTGGCTTTAATAGCAATTGTAGTAATTGATATTGCGTGAAAAGCAAGAAACTAAAGCACTGCTGAATACAAAATTCCACCCCATTTTCAATGGACGAAACGACGAAAAAAGGATCTCGAAACAAAAATCCGAAACTTTTTTCAACAAGCTACTTTTAAAAACTTTTTTGAAAGCATTACGCATTTAACAACGGCACGCAACAAAATTGACAAAAAGGAGCATTAAAAGAGCAAGAAAGTATAAAAAAAAAGAAACTAAAATGCAAATATTATGTCATGTTCCCTTGACAGCTCGCACCTTTAAATACTTGTGTTGTTAGTTAGTTAATCTTTGACCAAGCAAACCAAGCCAAAAATATCTTTTTAACTAAGGATTTGGTTCGCAAAACATGAAGTTTTTCTAGTCCAGTTAATCAGGTGATGAACAGTTGAAATATTTCAAATTGTTTCAAAGCGGATTCAAACGCTGTTAAATTAAAGGCGAGATGCTTCGTTTCAAAGTTACTCAGATTGTAGTAATTGCTGTCATTGTGTTATTTTTTTGATTCGAAGAGTCAACTCTTTTCCGGTACTTAAGAACTTTTTGGAAATAAATTTGGAGGCTAGTTTAAAATCCGATTAGCAAAATGTTTAAGGCGAGCCCGCAAAATTAACCAGTCACAACGAACATATGGGCGTTAAGTTCTGCCATATACATTCTTTTACTTGACCTAAACAAGAGCGTATTTTCTTTTTAAAAAATGATAGTGTCGGTCAGCCCAAAAAGGACGTCTCACAAAAGTACCAAAACTGAGGACCCTTTGGGTGGTCAGGGGTTCGATTACTAAAGGGGAAGGAAAAATGTCCCCAAAAATCCGCTATTGGAACTAAAACATGTATCCCAACCCTCTCAGTAACATTTAACATGACAAAAAGCAACTTAAACAAGCACTGCAAATGCAGAAAACATAGCCAATAGACCGTTGGAAAAAGTCAATCAACGAAAGTTAACAAAAAATCATCACGACTTTTTTTTTGAAAAAAATCTCAACTTTCAAATTTGAAAGAAAAAAACATGACCAACAATCTCATTGATTTTCTAAAAAAAAAGAGTTTATGATTGACACTCTTCGATTATATTAACCGAATTTGAGAAAACGCGATAGATGATTAAAATTTTATTCCGCTGGGAAATCTGAAATGTAAATTCTAATTTCGAAACTAGAAGTCGATCAAGTTTTTCGTGACCTTTACGTTTTGCTGTAAAGTGAATTTATCCTCAGAAAAAACGGGAAAAAATATCAGCACCTATATTAGAGTCTGAACTGGGTTCAAAGAATCTAGAAAACCACGAACTTATCAAGTAAAAATTCATTTGGTTAATTAACACTAAACAGTTGCTACTTTCAATAGACCATATATTCTACAAATTGCGAAGCCTCCAAAAAAATAACATAAACTATACGTTTCTGCTATGCAGTTCGAAAACCCAGTCAATGTAACATTAAATTCAAGTATTCTCAATTCATCATCATTTCAAATTAAAATTATAAAACAAGACAGGCAGACGACGTTTGCTTTTTGGATTCTGCTTGTTTTCTGCTAGCTTCAATTCGTCTACTTGAACCAGTCCGGTTATTTTCAACCGCTAGCGAACTTCTCTGTGATGACCTCAAACCAACACCACTATCCGGTAACAGCAGTGAACTACTCTTGTTTTCAGCTGTATCTTTATTTTCAAGAGGTAGCTTGCATTGTACTCTGTGCATTAATATTCTGTATATTCCAGTTACTGCTTCTTTTGTATGTTGATTCTGATCCGCAGTCAGTGATGCTAAATTAGCTCAATTAACAATTTTTTCAAGTTTTGGAAAATCAGTTCAATTTTAACTAAGCTAGAAAACATTTTTTTTCTTTTCTTTTCATTTTGGATAAGAAATGATACTTTTCATCGTTCACAAAAAATGTGCTTTTCTGACAAAACTGTTCACCCTTTTCTAGGAAATTTTCTTTTTTCAAAAATTGTTTTTCTTTTCTGGACAATTTTTTTCTTCTTGTCTGGAAAATTGTATCGTTTCTGGAAAAAAGTTATCCTTAGCTAGAAATTTGTTTAAGAGCAAGTTTTAATGCAGTTGTTACTGTTTTACGAACACATATCACTGACTGAAAACGATTGATTTTTCGCAACTTGTTTCGTGAACTCATTGTCTGGTATTCCCAATGCATCTTGCATGTAATGAACTACTCTGAATTTGTCATCGGACAAATTTCTCAAACTTATCGACGATGATTCAATGGGCGATTTCTTCGGGTTTAGTTTGGGTAAATTTTCATTGCTTTCAGGGTACAGTTCTATATTTGTCAAAAGATTACAATATCAGACGAAAACACAATCAATTATACAATTTCCACAAAAAAAGAAAGCTGGCGCCTGCAACATTTGACATTTATATCCTAGATAGTAATTCATATATATTTTTAATCATATAATTTAAATTGAGATCCCACCATACAAAAGCTTCAGAATTCGAAATTTCAATTGCCATAATTGTAAATCAACCATAATTTAACTCAAAATTAAGCCGCTTTCTTCAAAAATATCGAATAGATTGCTGATTCAAGTGTGCAAAGGTATGCTTTTTTTTTTAAAAAAAAGCTAAGTAGAAGTTCGAATCCAGAATAGGATTTTCGATTGATGCGTAATATTAACAGCCTGATATTGTAATCAATCTCACCTATAGTCTCATCATGTTTACCAATGAGCCACTCATGCATGAGTATTTTGTCCACTTTCAGTCTGTTTGTTGGTTTAATAGCGAGAAGTGAAAAGATGAGATGTTTCAGAGGACTGCTCATGAAATCGGGAGTTTGGAATGATCCGGATATTATCACCTGTTTCAGACGGGAGAGAGAATCTGCCTGAAAACAAATCAGAATTTAAAAAATGCTACGAAAAATTTTTACGGAGAGCATCGTAGTTCTTTCTGTAGCAGGAAACCTACGATTATGAATAAAATGAAAAAAAAAATCAAAACTTATTTGCAAAAAAAATATTCAGTAAAAAATTGGTTGCCTGGTTATTCGATTTGTCCTACAATGAGATGAATGGTGCTAACAGATTTCTTCCTGGTAAAAATGCCAGGTTTGGTCCTATTTTGATGAAAGATCAATTTTAATACCATTTATTTCAGTAATTCCCGACTTTCAACTCTCTGAATTCGGTAAGTTCAAAGCTCACAACCGGGCTGCGATGTTTTGCGAGCTTGTCAGTCTCGAAACAAGAACTGCTTATGAAACCCCTAGCAAATCCACCAGGGAAAAGTTTGAAATAGGACAAAATGTGTCAACCGAGCTGACTACCAAGAAAAAACAATATCGCAAAAATTGACAAACAACTGACTTATTTTTAATGCGAACAAGCAACTCAACTATACAACATTCAACCAAGCTCAGCGCGTACGAGTCGTTCTTGACCAAATACCACAGAAACCCAAAACAATGGCCTCAAGTCTGTTAAAAAATTGCAAATGATTAGAAATAACGGGGAAAAAGTTTTTTTTTTCCAATTTTCAACCATAAATTTATTGTACCACCGCAAACTTGATACAAAAAACTGTCTTTACTTTGAGATAAAAAAGGCAATACTTACATTGAAAGGCATCGTTCCCGCAGTGATGAAATACAACAACACTCCCAGTGCCCAAATATCCACCCAGCACCCCACATACGATGGCTCCGTGAACAGTTCCGGGGCAGCATAAGGCGGGGACCCACAGAACGTAGTCAGAGTCTGGCTCGAATCGGACACTGTTGAGAACCCAAAATCACCCAGCTTGGCTATCATGTTTGTGCTGTTTATATTGTTGGTGTTTGTTTTTGAGACCGGATTCTGTGATGGAAAGAGGAATACATTCTCTGCTTTGATGTCACGGTGAACCAGCTTTTTGGAGTGCTAAAAAGTAAACATTAAAAAAATTCAATTTAAAAAATTATTGGCATACACATTGTGAAATTTTGAAGGCTTTAACAATTTATTGCTATAATTTAAACTATAGAAAAAGAAAAAAATCAAATACTATCAACGTTGAAACGAACGAAAATGAAAAGAGTTACTTTAACTTTTTTCCTCAAATTTTGAATAAATTGTTCAATGCTTTCATTTTTGAGCTTGAAAGAGCTGCTATGATAATCGCACGCTAAACTTTTTTACTTCTCCCAAATGCATTTGATTGAATATATTTGAAAACTGCTTAATTTATTAATACTAAATCAGCTTACAATATGACTGATGGCAGAAGTGATCTGGAAGAAGACTGTTTTGGCACTTGTCTCCTCCTTCAGTTTGCCCTGATGAGTCACCAGTCTGTACAACTCCCCTCCCTCCGCGTACTCCAACACAATACACACTCTGGCTGCATCCTCCATCACCTCAACATAAAAGTTAGATCACATCACTTACTTATATAACTTATAACGTTCATTACTCTTATTAATAATACTGAACACAGTGAGATGTCGGGTCACCAATCATAGTGAGACTTTGTTGAGATGTGGGTTCACAGTATTATGGACTCATCAGAACTGTCAAACAGGCAGATTCGGATCTTTCTTAACAGATTATGCTCATCAAATTTAACTTATACGTTTCTTGTACGAGGTCTTTGAAATGCCGAAGTTCTTTTTGCACATAATGTTGCAACAATTTTGATTGTACTTTTGCTCAATTTTAGTAATTCCCAAGTGGTAAATTGAAGTCTTCTACTACTACTAGTCAACAGACAGTTGGAAAGATTCAATGAATGCAAACAAAATATATATAAAAAAAATATATCACGAAAAATCATCACGAATCACGACCTATATAAGAGTCTTCACTACGTTCATCGAATCATAATAAATTGTTTTCAAATGTGGTCATTAATCAAATAGAATTTGAAAAATGGATTCTTTTAAAGTAACATCACTAGCGAGAGCGCCATAAGACTAAAATTAGCCTGTTTTCAGACGTCTCAGACCGAGAATGAAAAACCGTTCGAAGAGAGCCCAACTTGCTCAAAATATTCATCAAAAGAAACATAGAAAGCAGAGTATTGTATAAAGTATAAAAGGCTATTCTCAGTAACCATGTGTTATACGGCAAACCAAAGACTATCCTAAAAGTATGCGAATTACAACAATGAAAACTACAGGAATTTTCTCTCTAGACCTTGTTGCCTTCTAAAAAATATGAATTTTTCCATTTTCTCTTATTTTAATGACTAGTTTATGGCAGGCTAATGATTAGTTCCATCTTTCGGACGTCCAATCAATGGAAATTACCTGGTTTTTCATTTACCCGAAAGCTGACTGCAACGAAGGAAAGAAAGTGTCGACATATTTCAATATTCAATTTAATTTTAAATTCACTATGAAGCTTGCGAAAATAGTTTTACAAATGTTTTATGTGCCCAAATTGTGGATAAGATGCGGATTGAGATTCGATTATTTTTACCTCGAATAGTCGTATGATGTTGGGGTGGTGCAGTTGGAGCATATTGTCCATCTCCCTCTTCAACATCTTCTGAGTTCTCTTGTCCAGACTCAATTTGTCCACCACCTTCACAGCCACACGCTCTAAACAACACTGGGACCATGAAAATCCAACAAATTTGAGTTTTTCTCTCCCCCAACTAGATATGAACAAGGACTTTCAGGTGTTTTCAAGAAGCGATATAAAACACTAATTGAGAAAACAGTTTACATTTTTTGAAATTGAGCAGTCTTTTATTCGTGTTGAGATGAGATACATAAGGCAACAGTTTTCCTCATTAAATACAGAAATAAAAAGGAACAAAATATCAACAAATAAAATAACTTCTCGAAAACTTGCCAATATAAATGACAAAAAAAAACATTCTGCATTTCCAAGAATGCGCCGAAAAACCTTCCGAGAACAAATTTTACTGGAGCAAAATGATCTTTTCACCATTTAACTTGAACTATAATCATATTAAAAGCCTGCTCACTCTCTTATTTTGTTCGAAAGTAGGTTAAAAATCAAAATTTTCAAAACTGTTTTTCTCAACACATATATTTTGAAGAATTTTTAAAGGTCGTTAAAGGAGTTTCGAGAACAACTTACGATCGACACTTTTTTCATAAAACTAAAGCATTTGATAAACTCGATCAATAAGTAAAATTTATATTTCGCGGGAGATCTGAAAATTTAAATCCATAACCGAAGCTAGAAGTCGATCACGTTTTTGTGACTTTTACACTTTTGGTGCTCGGTAGTAGATTTTGCCTTCCTTTTAATAAAGGAAATGAACTGAACTTAAAAAGAAATCCTATGTCAAATCGCGAAAAAGTAAATTTGAACCTGATTTTTGAAAGAAAAAGTCTAACAAAATTTAATGAGACCCGCTGTTTTTTTTGATGAATACCTACAATATCCTTTTTCTTCGAAATATATTTTAGAATATTCGCTTCACCTCTCAATAATGCGTGGGTGGCCAGTCTGACTTTGGAGAAGTTTCCCACCCCTATCTCGCCATGTATTACATAGAGACCAGTTCTTCTTCCAAGAGTGACCTCTCTCTGGACTGAGTCACAGTTGTCCAGCAGGTGCAGTTCCCTGCAAAAAAAAATATTTTATTTATTTTTTTTGAGTAGACCAAATAATGAAAGAACATATGTCAGAATAGTAATTTGGCCCAAGAAAGGGGAGTGCTGTCTGTATGTTGACAACCGCGTATTCATACTCGTCAGTAAGCAGGCAAATACTATATTAATCAATCAGAATTGAGTTGAGAAAGCAAACTTACGAAAAAGGAACAAAGCGCGCCCGCCGACGACCTTACACCAAGAGCTTCAAATAGTCGGCTTGGTAGTCTTTGGCCAATTGAATATTTTTGGTACTAACATGATTGATTCTCTCTACATCTCTAAGCGCAGAGTTTTTACTAGGCTCATTTGAGATGACAAATATTATTAACTTGGGTCATTATATTATGATATTATAATTAATATTATGATGATATTATAATATTCATAACTTGGGTTAATTTTTTATTAACTTGCGTCCAAACATTTCTACCAACCTCTGGTATCGTGTAAGATGTGACGGCACTTCAAGAGTATTGTTGTCGTCAAATCCCATTTCTCTATTCTTTCTTTTATCTCTCAATTCTTCTAATTGAACTTGCTGGTTTATCCAAAGCCACCTTTGAGTGACTTCGACAAACACAAGGTAAAATCAGGTAGATGGTAGATTTAAGTCGAATGCTACCACGTTTAACTGGTCAAGCCTGTTCAATGAATATTAGCATTGAAAAAGACCATAATTTGTTCTTTAGTAAGATAAACTACGGATTCTTTGGGCAAACGACTATTTTTTCAGATTTAATAGCTGCCAATCGAAGTCGCAATGCGTTGTCAAAAAGTCCGAAAACTGTCACAAGTTTCGTTTTGTCCCGCAATTTAGCCGTAAAATGAAGATGATTAACTTTCGAATCTAAGTTGGAAACCTAAGTTGTCTAAGTTTGATTAAAATTTAATATTACGCTGATAAAAGCTTAGATTAAGAGAGTATTTTCGAAACGAAAAATGATTAAATTCGTTTAACAAAAGTACACAAGTTGCTTAGACTTAGATTGATGTATATCAAATTGAAGAAAAAAACAGCTGGACATAGATTTGTCTATGTTACTTTTTAAAACTTATACAACTCTTAATTTGAATACGCACACAAAACAGCTGATACTCAAGAATTGAGAGTTAAAAAGCCAAATTTTTATGATAAGACAGATTGATGTCTAATTTTGACCAATTTCAATCAAATGTTTTTTAAATTCAAGTGTCGTATAGTCTGCATGCATTGCTTCACAAAAACCAATGAAAAATCAGCCGGATTAAATGCAGCAAAAGAACAAATCAATTTGCATAAGCAACCAAAAAACCTCCGGACAAAGGGTCTTAAGCTCAATAAAAATAATTACCAAAAAGAAAAATAAATTCTGCAATTAGACCAGTATAAATTTAACCCCATAACATTTTTGTGATTTAAAAAAATGAAAACACTTATTGTACCTACAAATTCGCCCGTTTTTATTTATGACCGGAACTTACTCAATATTTGAGTCAAGATCTCCCAGCGGTTTGCTTAGTAAATTACTTGAAGCTCAATGGAAAATAAATTATTGATACGAATCTTCGGATACAAAGCCAAAAGAAAATTGGAAAAGAGTCAATGAACGCAAAGAAATATTATAAAAATACTGACTTGTTCTTCTTTGAAACTCGAATGTTGAAATTTTTCAAAAAAAAGCCAGCAGACAGTTGAAAAAGAGTCAATGCAGGCAAATAAGAAAGCTAGTTTATTGAAATATATGCTCTCAATGCTCCTTGGCTTACAAGAACCATTTATGACTGACACCTTTTTGATTAAATTAACCCAATTTGAAAAATTTGGAAGGTAAAGCTTTTATTTCGCTGGGAAATCTGATAATTAAATTCAACTTTTGAAACAAGATTTCGATCACGTTTTCGTGACGTTTGAAATTTCCTGATCGATAATGGAAATTGCCTTCCGTTTAATAAAAGAAATAAAGTTAATTTAAACATAGCCAACAGACGGTTGGAAAAAAAGTCAACAAGCGCAAGTAAACAAAAAACTTTTTTTGTTGAAAAAAAAATTTCGTTTGACTTATTTTTTTTAAAAAAAAAACTCCAAATTTGGAACTTCAAAAGAAATATTAGAGACCAGTTCTTCTTCCAAGAGTGACCTCTCTCTGGACCGAGTCACAGTTTTCCAGCAGGTGCAGTTCCCTGCAAAAAAAAATATTTAATTTATTTTTCTTGAGTACACCAAATAATTAAGAACATACGTCAGAATAGTAATTTGGCCCAAGAAACGGGAGTGTTGATGTATGTTGACAACCGCGTATTCATACTCGTCAGTCAGCAGGCAAATACTATATTAATCAATCAGAATTGAGTTGAGAAAGCAAACTTACAAAAAAGGAACAAAGCGCGCCCGCCAACGACCTTACACCAAGAGCTTCAAATAGTCGGCTTGGTAGTCTTTGACCAAGTGAATATTTTTGGTACTAACAGGATTGATTTTATCTTTTGGAACAAACGGGACTGATTTATCATTGTGGTAAGTGTGAATACCCACCACAGGTAGCTTTATGTTCAGATGATTAACAACACAAACAATTTGGGCTAAACTCATGACATAAGTAACGAAAACTAAAATTTTCAACCAATCAGCGTCCTTTAAAAAGTCTATAAATAACCGAGTTGCACGCTTATTTATTTCAATTTTTTAAACCAATGAATTGTTATTGGCCATTATAACTTTAATGGATTCGGAGAAATGTGAATGGAGTTAACCAATCAGAAGCTTTTAAATCAGAAATCTTTCTTACATACACTCAAATATTAGTCTGGGAAGCTATTATGATTTTTTTCTGTTTTCCGTTCTTTACCGACGAGGCAAGTAAGATTTTTTCATATCTGCCAAAATATGATAGAAGTCAAGAGTAACGACATCGCTAAATAGCCATCATATGACATAAAGGATACGACATAATTTCAAAATGAGAAGCAATTTCATAAATTAAACTAAGTTGAGTCAAAATCCGCCACCCTAAATTGCTTCGGGGACACAGCTTCGAGTATTTTATTCTCTCTACATCTCTAAGCGCAGAGTTTTTACTAGGCCCATTTGAGATGGCGAATATTATTAACTTGGGTCATTATATCATGATATTATAATTAATATTATGATGATATTATAATATTCATAACTTGGGTTAATTTTTTATTAACTTGCGTCCAAACATTTCTACCAACCTCTGGTATCGTAAAAGATGTGACGGCACTTCAAGAGTATTGTTGTCGTCAAATCCCATTTCTCTATTCTTTCTTTTATCTCTCAATTCTTCTAATTGAACTTGCTGGTTTATCCAAAGCCACATTTGAGTGACTTCGACAAACACAAGGTAAAATCAGGTGGATGGTAGATTTAAGTCGAATGCTACCACGTTTAACTGGTCAAGCCTGTTCAATGAATATTAGCATTGAAAAAGACCATAATTTGTTCTTTAGTAAGATAAACTACGGATTCTTTGGGCAAACGACTATTTTTTCAGATTTAATAGCTGCCAATCGAAGTCGCAATGCGTTGTCAAAAAGTTCGAAAACTGTCACAAGTTTCGTTTTGTCCCGCAATTTAGCCGTAAAATGAAGATGATTAACTTTCGAATCTAAGTTGGAAACCTAAGTTGTCTAAGTTTGATTAAAATTTAATATTACGCTGATAAAAGCTTAGATTAAGAGAGTATTTTCGAAACGAAAAATGATTAAATTCGTTTAACAAAAGTACACAAGTTGCTTAGACTTAGATTGATGTATATCAAATTGAAGAAAAAAACAGCTGGACATAGATTTGTCTATGTTACTTTTTAAAACTTATACAACTCTTAATTTGAATACGCACACAAAACAGCTGATACTCAAGAATTGAGAGTTAAAAAGCCAAATTTTTATGATAAGACAGATTGATGTCTAATTTTGACCAAATTCAATCAAATGTTTTTTAAATTCAAGTGTCGTATAGTCTGCATACATTGCTTCACAAAAACCAATGAAAAAACAGCCGGATTAAATGCAGCAAAAGAACAAATCAATTTGAATAAGCAACCAAAAAACCTCCGGACAAAGGGTCTTAAGCTCAATAAAAATAATTACCAAAAAGAAAAATAAATTCTGCAATTAGACCAGTATAAATTTAACCCCACAACATTTTTGTGATTTAAAAAAATGAAAACACTTATTGTACCTACAAATTCGCCCGTTTTTATTTATGACCGGAACTTACTCAATATTTGAGTCAAGATCTCCCAGCGGTTTGCTTAGTAAATTACTTGAAGCTATGGAAAATAAATTATTGATACGAATCTTCGGATACAAAGCCAAAAGAAAATTGGAAAAGAGTCAATGAACGCAAAGAAATATTATAAAAATACTGACTTGTTCTTCTTTGAAACTCGAATGTTGAAATTTTTCAAAAAAAAAAGCCAGCAGACAGTTGAAAAAGAGTCAATGCAGGCAAATAAGAAAGCTAGTTTATTGAAATATATGCTCTCAATGCTCCTTGGCTTACAAGAACCATTTATGACTGACACCTTTTTGATTAAATTAACCCAATTTGAAAAATTTGGAAGATAAAGCTTTTATTTCGCTGGGAAATCTGATAATTAAATTCAACTTTTGAAACAAGATTTCGATCACGTTTTCGTGACGTTTAAAATTTCCTGATCGATAATGGAAATTGCCTTCCGTTTAATAAAAGAAATAAAGTTAATTTAAACCTAGCCAACAGACGGTTGGAAAAAAAGTCAACAAGCGCAAGTAAACAAAAAACTTTTTTTGTTGAAAAAAAATTTCGTTTTACTTATTTCTTTTGAAAAAAAAACTCCAAATTTGGAACTTCAAAAGAAATATTAGAGACCAGTTCTTCTTCCAAGAGTGACCTCTCTCTGGACCGAGTCACAGTTTTCCAGCAGGTGCAGTTCCCTGCAAAAAAAAATATTTAATTTATTTTTCTTGAGTACACCAAATAATTAAGAACATACGTCAGAATAGTAATTTGGCCCAAGAAACGGGAGTGCTGATGTATGTTGACAACCGCGTATTCATACTCGTCAGTCAGCAGGCAAATACTATATTAATCAATCAGAATTGAGTTGAGAAAGCAAACTTACAAAAAAGGAACAAAGCGCGCCCGCCAACGACCTTACACCAAGAGCTTCAAATAGTCGGCTTGGTAGTCTTTGACCAATTGAATATTTTTGGTACTAACAGGATTGATTTTATCTTTTGGAACAAATGGGACTGATTTATCATTGTGGTAAGTGTGAATACCCACCACAGGTAGCTTTATGTTCAGATGATTAACAACAAACAATTTGGGCTAAACTCATGACATAAGTACCGAAAACTAAAATTTTCAACCAATCAGCGTCCTTTAAAAAGTCCATAAATAACCGAGTTGCACGCTTATTTATTTCAATTTTTTAAACCAATGAATTGTTATTGGCCATTATAACTTTAATGGATTCGGAGAAATGTGAATGGAGTTAACCAATCAGAAGCTTTTAAATCAGAAATCTTTCTTACATACACTCAAATATTAGTCTGGGAAGCTATTATGATTTTTTTTCTGTTTTCCGTTCTTTACCGACGAGGCAAGTAAGATTTTTTCATATCTGCCAAAATATGATAGAAGTCAAGAGTAACGACATCGCTAAATAGCCATCATATGACAAAGGATACGACATAATTTCAAAATGAGAAGCAATTTCATAAATTAAACTAAGTTGAGTCAAAATCCGCCACCCTAAATTGCTTCGGGGACACAGCTTCGAGTATTTTATTCTCTCTACATCTCTAAGCGCAGAGTTTTTACTAGGCCCATTTGAGATGGCGAATATTATTAACTTGGGTCATTATATTATGATATTATAATTAATATTATGATGATATTATAATATTCATAACTTGGGTTAATTTTTTATTAACTTGCGTCCAAACATTTCTACCAACCTCTGGTATCGTGTAAGATGTGACGGCACTTCAAGAGTATTGTTGTCGTCAAATCCCATTTCTCTATTCTTTCTTTTATCTCTCAATTCTTCTAATTGAACTTGCTGGTTTATCCAAAGCCACCTTTGAGTGACTTCGACAAACACAAGGTAAAATCAGGTAGATGGTAGATTTAAGTCGAATGCTACCACGTTTAACTGGTCAAGCCTGTTCAATGAATATTAGCATTGAAAAAGACCATAATTTGTTCTTTAGTAAGATAAACTACGGATTCTTTGGGCAAACGACTATTTTTTCAGATTTAATAGCTGCCAATCGAAGTCGCAATGCGTTGTCAAAAAGTCCGAAAACTGTCACAAGTTTCGTTTTGTCCCGCAATTTAGCCGTAAAATGAAGATGATTAACTTTCGAATCTAAGTTGGAAACCTAAGTTGTCTAAGTTTGATTAAAATTTAATATTACGCTGATAAAAGCTTAGATTAAGAGAGTATTTTCGAAACGAAAAATGATTAAATTCGTTTAACAAAAGTACACAAGTTGCTTAGACTTAGATTGATGTATATCAAATTGAAGAAAAAAACAGCTGGACATAGATTTGTCTATGTTACTTTTTAAAACTTATACAACTCTTAATTTGAATACGCACACAAAACAGCTGATACTCAAGAATTGAGAGTTAAAAAGCCAAATTTTTATGATAAGACAGATTGATGTCTAATTTTGACCAAATTCAATCAAATGTTTTTTAAATTCAAGTGTCGTATAGTCTGCATGCATTGCTTCACAAAAACCAATGAAAAATAAGCCGGATTAAATGCAGCAAAAGAACAAATCAATTTGAATAAGCAACCAAAAAACCTCCGGACAAAGGGTCTTAAGCTCAATAAAAATAATTACCAAAAAGAAAAATAAATTCTGCAATTAGACCAGTATAAATTTAACCCCATAACATTTTTGTGATTCAAAAAAATGAAAACACTTATTGTACCTACAAATTCGCCCGTTTTTATTTATGACCGGAACTTACTCAATATTTGAGTCAAGATCTCCCAGCGGTTTGCTTAGTAAATTACTTGAAGCTCAATGGAAAATAAATTATTGATACGAATCTTCGGATACAAAGCCAAAAGAAAGTTGGAAAAGAGTCAATGAACGCAAAGAAATATTATAAAAATACTGACTTGTTCTTCTTTGAAACTCGAATGTTGAAAATTTTCAAAAAAAAAGCCAGCAGACAGTTGAAAAAGAGTCAATGCAGGCAAATAAGAAAGCTAGTTTATTGAAATATATGCTCTTAATGCTCCTTGGCTTACAAGAACCATTTATGACTGACACCTTTTTGATTAAAGTAACCCAATTTGAAAAATTTGGAAGGTAAAGCTTTTATTTCGCTGGGAAATCTGATAATTAAATTCCACTTTTGAAACAAGATTTCGATCACGTTTTCGTGACGTTTGAAATTTCCTGATCGATAATGGAAATTGCCCTCCGTTTAATAAAAGAAATAAAGTTAATTTAAACATAGCCAACAGACGGTTGGAAAAAAGTCAACAAGCGCAAATAAACAAAAAACTTTTTTTGTTGAAAAAAATTTCGTTTATGACTTATTTTTTTTGCAAAAAAAACTCCAAATTTGGAACTTCAAAAGAAATGTTAGATTTCTTTAGAGCACTTTGAATTCTAGAACTATTTTAGATTGACACTTTTTTATTAAATTAACCCAGGTAAAGATTTATTTCGCTGGGAAATCTAATAATCAGACTCAATTTTCGAAATTAGAAGTCGATCACGTTTTTCGTGACTTTTTCACTTTTGCTGGACGATAGATGAGTTTGCCTTCGGTTTAACAAAGAAATTGAACTGAACTTGAAGAAATCATAAGTCACAGCGCGAAAAAGTAAATTAAATTAGAGCCTAAAGTAAAAAGAATCATCGCGACCTATATAAGAGTCTGAACTACGTTCATCGACCCTCAAAAGGAAATCAAGAATCAACCCGCGTAAAACTGAGCCTATATAAAATTTAAGCCTGAAATAATTCTAAAAAAAACAAGGATAGCCCGTTACTGTGCAAGTAGCACAGAATGTTCCGACCAGTCTTAGGAAATTACAACAATTTTTCCAATAAGTGTCGGTTTTTCGCCTTGGTGTGACAAAGGAATCTGAGCGAAAAAAAGCTGATGCATTTTTCTCAGTCATTGTAAAATATGCAAATTGGTAAACAATTTTTGAAGACAAAAAACAAGAACAACAAAAAAAATAAATTATTTCAATTTTTTTAAAAATTGTTTTGCCAAAAGTTTCTTATTCCTAAGATGCTGCTTAAACTCCAAAAAATAACTTCATGAGAGTAAAACTAATTTTTCAAGGCTTCAATTAGGCATAAATAAGCTAATGTAAGCCTGCTCAATCGCTCGAAATTAGACGAAAAATCAAAAATTTCAAACCGGTTTTTCTCGACACAGGTTCGAATAACGACTGAAATAGCTTTAATATGATAAATCTTTCAACCCAGTCCGATCATTATTTGTGGTACCTGATTTTGCGTGGAAAAAAAAACACCCAAATACAAATTTCCTCCCCATTTTCAATGTCGGAACAAAAAAGTTGCAACCAATATAAGATTCATCGATTCCTAATAAGTTTTTTATGCTTAGAGTTTTTCCAGCTAACATGATACACAATGATACGATGAGATGTTTCTATGAATATCTATGAATACTTACGATTGCTTCTCAATTTATAATATATTCAATTCAAAAGACAAAACACTATTTTTAAATCAAACAGGACAAATAATGAAATAAATTTTCAATTTAACAAATGAACCATAAAGGTTGTTGAAGTTGTCTTCCATCAATATTGCAAATCGTCAACCATAATTGCCTCTTCAGACAAGTTCTTCGAGTCAGGATCCAAATTCAATTTTGGAAGCGTAAATTTTTTTCTGATACTAGTTATTAACTAAGTATCTTAGCTTCGCAATTGACACCATTTATTGGCAGCTAACTTCTGTCATAAGAATAAATCATTTCCAAGACAAAAACAGAAAGTTCATTGAGCTTTGAGACAAAATGATGCCGAAATCCGTCATAGGTTGAGTTCTCCGAGGTAGATAACTTTGTCACTGGATCCAGATGCTATGATTGGTTCTGTTGGGTGAAAGTCGACCTAGATAAAAAAGAAAAAAAATTACTTCATTTCAGAGAAATAATTCGTTCTATTGCTAATCAATCTACTTTTCTCAATTTTTGAAGAAAACCGAATACTCGATTTGAAAAATTATAATCTGAACAAATCAACTACTTTCTTCTTTGGTTCTTTGTCGACTTTTTTTACAAAACAATCAAAAAGATCAGTTCCGATTCTCACAGTAATTTTTTTTGTCGCTTAATTGCATTTTATTGATCCATTAATTATTCGTGTTTTTTCGAACTTTTCGAGTTTGCAATTTTACACTCGAAACAACAGTGCATTAAATACCAACAACTATGTGAAGGAAGGCAAAAAAAGCATATGAAGTAAAGAAATAAGCAGACCTAAGACAATTTTGTGCAAAAAAAGTCGGCAAAAACAATTGATTACTTATGCAGCTTAAACTATCACGTCTAGATTTTTCTAAGGAATAAGCCTATCACCAATAATTCAATCATTCTGCTTCTGATATCAAAAAAGCTTTAACGGTTACGTATACAGTTCATAAAGTAGTCAGGTCGCAAAGAATACAAATACTGCATTAAGCAATCAAAATCGCGTTAAGAAATCAAACGTACGAAATCAAACGTGTTTTCGTTCCGATCATTTGGAAAAAGGGGAGGAAGTTTGTATTCGGATGTTTTAACTTTTTTAAAATGTTTTTGTTTTCCACGCAAAATCATATACCACAAATAATCATCGGACTGGGTCGAGCGATGTATCACATTAAAGTTCTTTCAATCGTGATTTGAACGACATTAAAAACTGCAAAAATTTTTCCCAGTGTCGAGAGAAATTTTTGATTTGTCCTAATTGCGAGCTAAAAAAAAGGGTGAGCTTCCAGGCTTAGAATAGGTTATTTATGCTTGATTTAAGCCGTGAAAACTTAATTTTATTTTTTAACGCCATTTTTGGAATCAAAAACGTCAAAAAAAAATCTGCAAAAAATCGTATAATTATCAAAAAAAAATTCTCAATTATTTTTGCAGAAAATTTTTTTGATAGTTTTACGATTTTTTATTCGCTTTTCTAATCATTTTTCTATTAAAAAAACTGTTTCCAATTGTCGATTATGCCCAAGTTTATTTTTTCGTTCAGATCTTTTTATCACACCACGCAGAAAAAATACGAATTTGAAAACCTTTTTTGTATTTTTCAAAGAATATGGTCGGAAAATTCTGTGCTATTTGCACAGTAACTTGCTATCTTTGTTCTTATCTCGATTCTGGTTATTTAATATTTTTATTTGTTTACTTTTCGACGAGTATGAGTCTACTTTTTAATTGCACTCCAGCTTCAACTTGCCTCGTTGACGGATCCATTGTGTCCTGGTAGTTTGTACATGATGCGTCTAGTTATAGTGTCCCACACATACACGAACTTGTCAGCTGATCCACAGGCTACTCGAGTTCCACTTTTGTGCCAGTGGGCCTGGAAATCATTCCCAAAAATATACAAAAAATCAAATAGAAAAGCTATTTGAGATAGATATGACAAGTGCTAATCACACTCGTGAGCACAAAAAACTTAAGACACTTTAACGTTGCTTTTAAATATTTGATTGAAGACATTGAAGGAGGTACGCTTTGTGTTTTACACTCAGTACATCATAATAATAATATTAATTATATGAAAAACACAGTAACCGTAATCAAGTATTTTAAAGCAACACAGAGGCAAAGCGGAGCTTCGTATCAATTGCGATACAATGCTAGCAAAGATTTGCACGATAGCGAACAGAGACGGAAAAAACAGAGACCGATTATTTTTTCTAAAAATTCAATTTAAAAAAAGAGAAACAAACAAGCATTAAATACACTTATACTAATTGCCGAGTGCCCACTAAGCCGGCCATATGTGGGTAGACCACCATGGAGAAAAACCATACCAAATTTGCGTCATTAAAAACTTTGAGCAATTAGGTTTCAAAAACTTGAGCTTTTGCACAACAGCCGACCCGAACTTATTTAAAATAACCAATTATTGCCCTACAATAGACTCAAAACAACTTGAACAAGCCGACAGAGCATGAGAGCCGAAACCATTTAGAACGAAAAAAAATTTGAGGTAAAAAGCAATTAAAGAAAATATGCAAGCCAGGGCTAGTAAAATTAAAATTACCAAAAATCTACAAAAACTTGCAATTGCAAGAAAAATTGCATAAAGCACAAGAACAATACAAGATGTGGCAACTAAGCCGACAAAACATAAGCAATTGGCCGACAAGGCAATTTTTACGGAAAAAACTCAAATTCATACATACTGCAAAAAAATAAGGTCCAGCCGGGACTCGAACTCCAGAAGTTATGATGCCACAGCAGCCGCACTTCATCCAGACCAAGTGAGGAAGCCAGGTTACATATATTGAAGCCAGGTTTTTGAAACTCTAATGGCGTATTAAGAAGGAAAAGGCAAAAATGTAGTCATTTCAATAGCGGCACTGACTTAACCGTCAGATAGCTTGGTCATGGGAACTAGTTACCGAAAAAAATCTCGCGTCTAACGGACTGATAGCTTGTTATGCTGCGAGCGGTACTTAATGACAATTAAACAGTCTTTTCTAAATAAAAATGCTATGTTTCCTACTGGAGATCAAAACTGGATTTTTTAATGCGCGGGGAGAATTTTGGCCAGTAAAAGGCGTAATTTGCGTTAAATTAGCAGAAAAATGTGAAGACAACTATAAAAAACCTTAGTCAACAGGCAGTTGGAAACAGTCAATGAACGCAAGGTAACCGAAAAAAAATACTGACTGTGTTTTGAATACAAAAACTTTCGAATTTCACAGAAACAAAATATGTAGCCCTAAGGCTCTTTAAATTTCACGAACAATCCATGATTGACAATTTTTGATAGAACTAACCCATTTCCAGAAAAGTGGATCACTAGGTAAAGCAATTTAATCCGCTGGGAAATCTTTTGAAACTAGAAGTAGATCATATTTTGTGGCCATTACATTTTTGATCGATAGAGGAGTTTGCCGTCTGTATTAAGATCATATTGTTAACTCAAAGGTTTTTAACATGTTAACATAAAAACACGTTAAAAACAATTTTTAGCTTTAAAACCACTCATTGAGTTGCTTAAACACTCATTGATTTGTTTAAAGAGATAAGCCAGCTTTCCAGCCTTCTTGACGCCACAAGAACTTCGGGAGTTTTCCATAGATAACTCCAAGAGTTGAGAAACACCGCTCGACTCCAGCACTGGAGGAGATAGCATTGGCCTAGTCGACGAACTTTTTTTGATGAAATATAAAAAAAATGCATTCGAATTGAAAGCCCGAATTGTTAAAAGCTATCTGTTAATAACGTGTTAAACATAGATATGTTAATAACATCTTGTTAACAACATGTAACCCTGCGTTTAACAAAAGAAATGAACTGAAATTGAAATTAAATCAATCACAAAACAATACCCCACGAATCCGCTGCTGGGTACATCAAGAGAAACAATTAAGCAAAATTACCAGTAAAACTTCTGGATAAAAAAACTGTACTTTCTTTTGTTACGGTTGAAAAACACCAGCCAAAAACTGTGCGACGATTATCTTTAGCTTCCTGGGAAAAACACGACAACACTACCTAAATAAGCGATAAATCACTTCGTTCAAAAACACAAGAATTTTTTTTGTAAAAATTGACAAAATCTACTATTTTAATTTGAAGTTGCGTTAAAAACGTTACGTTAAGCATATGTAAGCATACCGAAAGCAAAGAATAACACAGAGGCATAGCTCAAACATTACAAAAATCAGCTCTAGAAAGTGCATAAAAATAGAAAAAAGCCTCGAATAAGCAAAAATTAGGCTAGGTCTAGAATTCGATCTGCGACCTACTGCAATCAAGAGATTTTGAGTCTCACGCACTAACCACTTAACCACGCTCGCTTAACCACCGACAAACACTAGTCACGAATAAAGCAGCTACATATGCCAACAAATTGCCAACGCGAATAGACACCAGTTTCCAAGTAATAATTTGGAATATAACAAGCTGAAACAATCCACGCAAATTTTGCATGCAACAAAATTCTACGCATAAAGCCACATCAACAACAAATTATGCATTTCAAAAAAATGCGAGATATATTGAGATACAAATTTTCTGAAATGGAGTTTTCATTATTGTTATGTTGTTTGAAACAAATCATTTTTTTCAGTTCATTTGATGAACTAAAAATGCATCAACTGTGTGAAATTATTACTATTCGAATGTCAAAGCACATGCTATCAAAAAGGTGTAATTTGCCCCAAAAGTGGTACCAACTTTTCGACTTGGATTAGAAAAAAAGGCTCTTAATAATTCATTAAGATGACGCTAGTGTTAAAAAAATGAAGTGGAAAAAAAACAGGCTGAACCAAACTTTTTGTATGTCTCGATAAAAGAAAATTAGTGTCTCAGTTAAAGCTGCAAGAACCTGTTGAAATTTTTTTGAATTTGTTACACTGATGCCGGGTATTTTCAAAATTGAGCTTTATTCAAAATCTTAGTTGTTTCTCGACTAAAACAAGTGTGAATTTTCCCAAGGACATTATTTTTTTTTAAAGTAAACGAAAGTAAACGAGTCGCAGCTTTAAGGGAAAAAAAACATTTCTCAAATGGTATTTACGGTTGAGCCCTTAATCTCAGATTTTTTTGGGTAGTATTAAAGAAAAGTCAGAAAGGTGACGCTCAAAGTAGATCGTGACCGGGTTTCTCGATTAAACATTTAACCTAAGAATTATAAGGGTAGTTTTCGGGATAAGCCAACGAGTTTCAAGAAAATGGTAGTGGCCCTTTATGCAGGTAGCCTTACAACAACCTGTTTTTCGATAAAACCTTTGATATCAGAATTGGCAGGATAGTTATAGAAAAAACACAAAAACTTCCAAACTGTCAACGAATCAAAAATACGACATTTTCAAGAATCATAACTTTTTATCTGAAAACATTTGGGCGTATCTGCTTATGCAGAAGGGAGTCACGCAACCTGTTATTTCGAGTATGTCCTAAAATCAGATAAGGGAGGGCAGCTAACGAGAAAGGCCAACTAGTTCAAAAAACGAAACAAAAGAAGACTTTTCCGTGTACCATAACCTCATGAGTAAAAAATTGGCGCTTTTCGATTAGCCCAAAATCTCAAGACTTGAGAAGGTAGTTCTCAACACAAGCCAAAAAAGTGAAAAATCACAAATATGACGGTAACTTTTTTCTTAACGAATTTGGGTATAACCGACAAAGCGGGAAAACTTCCAACAACCTTTTTTCTCCCTTGAGCCCAAAATTTCAGATATGGGTTTTTCGAGAGAAGTGAAAAAATTTCAAAAAACCGTCAAAAAAATATAAAACATTTTTCCGCGGACCAGCACTTTTTGTGATAAAAAATGGGCAGAACCGCTTTAACAGAGAAACTTCACTCAACCTGTTCTACAGATTGAAACACAAATCTCAGATTTGGAAGGGTATTTTTTGAGTGCAGACTTTTCCGAGGGCCATTATGCTTTGCGCAGGGGTGGGGGAATTACCACAACCCGCTGTATCCGCTTAACCCAAAACAATAGGACGATGGTTTTGGGTCAGATATTCCTCCAAAATATTTTTTGAAGGCTGAAGACATTGTGTAAAAGGATATTCTTTTTTTTTTGAAAATCGATACGATAGTATTTCCCAATTCCATGCATTCCCAATTAGTATACCCAATTCCATGCATTCAAAATTCCTGTTTTTATCAAACAGGATTTTAAGAAAAACATGCCGAGCGAAACGTCTGATTTATAAAAGATAGGAAAAAATTCAGTTGGAAAAAAAGTAATGAACGCAAATAAACAAAAATAACATAACTTTCTTGAAAAAATCTCAACTTTGGAAATTCAAAGAAAAAAATAGATGCCCTCAGGCTCTTCGAATTTCTAGAACAAATTAAGACTGGCGTATATATTTTTTTGATAATATAAACCCAATTAGAGAAAACTGGATCAATATATAAGATTTATATTCCGCTGGAATTCTAAAAATTAAATTCAAATTTCGAAACTAGAAATTGTTCACGTTTTTTCGAGCGATTTCCACGTTCGTATTTGGAGAGTGCTTGCTATTAAGGTCACTTTCAACAGATGAATTTCAATTGAATTCAAAAAGTAGGTATATACCTGTACATTCATAAATGCATCAATATGCATCAATATAGGTAAATCTGTAGTTATTAGAGACTTTTCCTGAAAACCTGGAAAAAAAAATCAACAAGAACTATATAAGCGTCTTCATTACGTTCGCATTACTCTTAATTAGCAACGGGACAAAACTTTCGAAGCGGAAACAACGCAGAAATCAGTTGAACCGAAAAAAATTGACTTACAAAATTTTTTTTTAATATTCAAGTGCCCCTGAACTACAACGAAAAACAATTGCACTTGCACTTCATTGAAAGTTATATACAGCGCAAGAAAAGTCCGTGATGTGGCACCTAAGCTGACAAAACTTGAGCAGACAAACGAAATCCCTACAATTCAACTTTTACCGGAAAAAAAAACCAATTTGATTCATACAGAAAGAAAAACAAAGCGATGTCCCAGAGCTTAGGGTGAAAAAGCGACCGCGTTGCATCCAGGCCAAGTGCTAAGGAGCCTGAAAGCTGTTAAAATTCAATATTAAATGCAATTTCTTGTAAGAGAAACTATTTACGGGAAAAATTTTAGTTCCCGTTTAAGATATTTTTGATTTTTTGACCGTTTTTTACTCTTGCGGGAGCAAGTGCCTTTTATTCGGGAACTAGATTTTGATTTTTCCGAGGGCACTAACTCGTTGTGTGAAAAAATTTGGCGTTAGCTTAAAATGCTCTCTCCATTGAGCCCAAAATTTCAGATTTGGGATGGTAGTTTTGGATAAAATAAAAAAGTCCTAAAATATGGGTCGAAAACTCTCACGATAGAAATTTCGGAAGCCTGTAGAAAAAAGTTTTTGAAAGAGAGGATTTTGCAGGCAGACAGTGGTCCTGCTATTGGCAACTCTTTTTTAAAAGTCGTTAGAGTAGTTAGTGAGAAAAAAAATAAAGTTTTTGCAAAAAGCTTAAAACTTTCCTAAGCGTCAAAAAAACATATACCATTTATTTTCATAGCACCTGTTTTCATTTAAAAGTTATAATTGGACTGAACATAAACTAAGTCAATGTTCAGTTGATTTGATACGTCTTATCGATTCGAAATTGCTGAATACCTTTCAGGTTATATATATTACATATACCACATTAAAACAATTTTTAGAAAACAGCACGTCTTATTAAAGTAATTGGACATTCGAACTCTGTACCAACATCTTTGATAGTAAAGCATTGCTGCATTGATTTGCAAGAAAGCATAGAACTGCATTGCTGAAAAATTGCATAAAACCATAATTATCTTTATCAAATAGCAGCGAAAAACAAAATTAAAGAAACAATCTGATATTTTTCTCATAAGAACGTTTTTGATACGCGAACACAAAAACAATTATTTTCGTCTAGCTTTTATTGTTCCGAACTTTGAAGAAAGTAAAGAAATATTTAGGCTGGGGATGGTTTTTTATTCAGACATTTTCGGCGATCGAGAGCAGGGTTTCCGATAAAAACATCTTAACACCGAGAATGGTATGACCCTCGTGAATTCAAATATATATATATATATATATATATATATATATATATATATATATATATATAAAATTTAAACTGCGCAGATTTATGAGACAAGAATTCTCTCGTCCTCAAAATTGTTCAAAATTGATTTCCAAATTTCCAAATCAGACCACACATACTGACATTGGATCTAAGGTAGGAAAGACAATCACACCTGAGTAATTATAAGTTATCAGACTTTCGTTCCAGAAACTGTTTGAGAGAAACTTTCAGGCATTTGCCCTGATTCGAGCAATCTTTTATTCAATTGATATTAATTTTCAATTTTGTTTACTTTGTAAAAACTCCTACTAATAAGCGGTCAGCAAGCAGACAAACTTCCTTTCAAACTCAAAAGGAAGCGTAGAATGGCTCAAATCTGCGCCGCGGCTTTTGATTTTTTCAATGTCAAGAATAAATTCAAACCAATTTTTTTTTCAGATCCAACTTTACACTTTTAGGCTAACTCAAATGACCTACAGTAGATTTTTTTCCTGGCCAAGTATTAATTTTGAAAACAATTTCTGTTTAAACCATTAACTTCTTTCATACACACAAAATAAGTTGGCTTTCACAATTTTTAATGCGTTATTGCAATTTTATGCTTTTAATTAGCAAAACGACGTATGTTTTCAATCAATTTGTCTAATTAAAACTGTTGATTGAATATATTTAGGCCATACTCATATTTTATATCAGAAAAAAAAATCATATTTTCTCCTCTTCCCCCAAAACCGGTTTAGAAGTGGAATTTTTTACTGTTGATCCGCTATTTGTAAGGCTGCTTTCGGAAATATTTTCTGCACTAAAAACAAAATATAAGTTTGCGGAGACTAATATGCTGGTTTTTGTTCAGCAAAACTTGCCTAAAAAATCAGTTGATAAAAACATCTGCTTTCTAAATGGGCTATGTAACTGTAATTGCTTAAAATCTTCACCGGTTTTTCAGATTTAACGCAATGAGCCTTTTCGGCTATTCGAGCGGAACAAATCCCCGACTTCAACCAGGAGTTTCTGGTCTAGTTCAGCCATATGTACAAAATATACCCTCAAACGTCGAACAAAGCGCAGAAACTTTCAGAGACGAAACTTCAGAACTAGACGCGAGGATTCTGGTCAGCGATTTGAAAAGCGTATTGCAACGAAATCCTAAGTTAAGAAGTGAAGATTTGTCTTTCATTCGAGATCAATTAGAAAGTTGTTTGCTTTTGGTATCATCAACATCTCCCTACGATGAATCGATGGCACAAGCTGGAATCAGTGAGACTTCAAGCGGGATTGAAGCTAATCAACTCCAGGCAAATAAAAATCCGTATGGTGCGTCATTGAATCCCATAGAATCATTGCTCTTCGGTGAGCCGATAGATTATAAAACAATGGTCCTCAACAAGTTTTACCACCTTGATGACGAACGTTCGAACAAAAAGACAAGAAAGAGAAGAGAACAACGAAAGCGACAAAAAGAAAGAGATCTAGAAATGCATTTGAAAGAGATTGGAAAACATTAAAGAAAGGAAACAAGAAGAACTTACTATAAACTGGGTAAGAATTAAAATGATATATATGTACAACACAAAAATCTATATTTCCGAATTTTTCAAAAAATTCTCTGTTATATGGATAAATATTATATTTTCAGATGGATAAATAAGTTTCAATTCAAGCTTTACGTGTTGATAAAATTTTCAGAATTGAAACATGTTCGTAGCAAACCTATTTTAATCATTCAAAAGACAAAACAAACAAAGTCAAAAGACACCAAGTTGAAAGCAAGGAGAATACAATTGAATTCAAAAATTGTTAATGAAAGCAGGGATAATGCAATTTTTTTTTTAATTTTGAGTTAAAACGAACATATCAAGCAATTTGCGTTCGTTTCATTTAAATCGAACCTTAAAAGATCATATGAGAAAGGTGGCTTTCATAAGCTCAACAATATGTATTAATAAACTTCTGTATTTACTCGATCATTAATTTAATCAACACGAAACTTGAAGATAATTTACAAAATTATCAGGAATCAATGAGAAAACTAGATCAAAAAACGCTACAGAACAATGATACCTTGAAGCTTAAATATAATAATCTGTGTTAATATCGATATCATTGGCTGAACTTAATAGCTGGATAAATTGAATCGCAACAATATTTGCGACTTGATTGAAAAAAGGAAAGTTCATGCTATAACACAAGCTACGAAGGTGTAAAAATGAACTAAGAAACGTCACATCTCGGAAACTGAAAGCAAATGAGCAGTCGCATTTGGACGCGAGCTTTGTGACTCCTGGGAGTACCCTGACAGAGTCTCACTATAGAGATGGGAACTTCAATTTTTGTGAAACATTTTATTTCCAAGTTCTTGAAATTTCCAAAATCCTAAGAAAAACCATAACTAAAAAGATTTGAGAAGTGAGATTTTGAGGCAAGATTCGAAACCCCTGAGAGTACCCTGTCAGTACCTAACTACAGAGTTGAGATTTTCAAACTTAGAGAAATTTTTCAAAACTAAAAATCTCGAAAATTACCGTATCTCGTAAACTAAAAAGATTTAGTTATTCATATATGGAGGCCAAATCTCAACATCTGGGTAAACCCTGACAACATGCCACTATTGTGTAGCTAATTTCAAACTTGATAAAATAAATACTGAATTCAAACTGGAAAAACGAAAGAAAAATCTTCACCATTGCAATAAACGATATAGCTTAAACGCGAAAAAATTCTTTCGTTACACATGTAAAATTATTCAGCTTAAACATGGGAGATAGCTGTTCTTAGCATTTAAATAAAGTATAGATATAGATAGATAGATTGCCAATGCTAAATAGGATAGTTCTAACTAAATAGGATAGTTAGATTGACTAGGATAGTTAGAGTCCCCTGTCCTCACATCTGCCCCACATGCCCTTGCAAATTTAGTAACACTAGCCACAAATAAAGAAGCTACATATGCTAATAAATTGCCAATGTAATGCAACAAAGGTGGTGCCAAATAAAGAAAAAGAAACCTTTGCATGTAACAACTTAGAATATAACAACCTGAAGACATCCACACTAAATTTGCATGTGGTAAATTGCAGAGCAGAATGCCCGAAAACAGAATGTAAAAATTAAGCATTTCAAAAAAAAGCATTTCAAAGCGATATGTTGAGTTGGAAAATTTCTGAAATCGAGTTTTTATAATTGTACTGTTGTCTGAAACAAATAGCTTTTTTTGGCTTCATTTGATGAACTGAAAATGCATTAGCTATGTAAACTTATTATTAATCGAATGTCAAAGCACATGCTACCAAAAAGCTGTAACGGTTCCCAAAAGTGGCACCAATATTTGCGACTTAGGTTGGAAAAAAAAGAATAGTCGCACTATTACACTACGCTCACAAGTGTAATAACAACATACAAAATTGAACACAGAGGAGGAAATTCGCAAACACTAGCGAGAACGCGGCAAAAAGCAGCTCTATAAAGTGCAATAAAAAATTAAAATAAGCTTCGAATTAGCAAAAAAACTCACTGTTATTAGGTTAGAAAAAAGAAGGTTCATAAAAATACACTGCGCTCTTCGCTTATGTTGAAAACTTGGAATGATTATTCGGTTGTTGTTTAACAAATTCATGACCAACCTTAATGAGGTTCTTTTCGAAGTTGTGTTGTGCCCCCAGAAGCACTTTGACACACCTCTCAATGGGTGCAAATGGCCTCACGTCGAATATTCTGAGTGTGTTGTCCATGGAGTTAGACAGGAGATAACATCCATCTGGACTAAGAGAGAGACTGGTCACTGTGTCTGTGTGGCCTACAAGAAAAATAAAAAAAAAGTAATCAAATTTAAGAACTAAAGAGAGGATGGCCTGTTACTGTGCAAGTAGCACAGAATGTTTCAACCATTGAAAAAAAAAAATTCTAGAACTTGGGTATGTTCGACATTCTTGCTGAATTTTTGATTACCAAAATGGCGTAAAAAACTCCTAAAACTACATTTACTCGAGTGAAAATTCAGCACAAATAAGCTATTGTAAACGACTTGACTTAAGCATAAATAAGCCCGATCGCTCGCTTTATTCGCTCAAAAATCAAAATTTTCAATTGTGTTTTTCTCGAGACTGAGAAAATCAAAATCGAGCAGGTCTGATGATTATTTGTCGTATCTGATTTTGCGTAGAAAACAAGAAAAAAAAACACGAATACAAAACTCCTCCCCATCTTCCAGCAATTATCAAAAAAATAATTAAGAAAACATTTAGAATAATCTTACAGTTTAACTTCAAAATTTTATCATTAAGATGCGAGCAGATTAAATTTTGTGAAACAGTCAACACTAATGAACGTTAGCTATATGTATGGCGAAACATTCGCTTCCCATTAACCAGCTTCGAGTGTTTTTTCAGTGTTCATGTTTCAAGAATTGCGTTTAAGTACATAGGACTTTAAGCTCAAAAATGTCGCTGGTGCGCTTACCTTTGAGTGAGTTGACACACTGGTCTCTTCTGAGGTCCCACACTTTGATCTCATTCTCAATTCCACCAGAGAACACCTGGTCAACTCCTTCACTCAGACACACACTCGTGACCTGAAGAGAAAAATACAAAGATACTGAAATATTATCAAGATAGAGGTATTATAGTTGAATTAAATTTCTAGTTTTCATTCAAGCTTTAATAGTGAATTCAGGGGCGAAAACCCAACCAGGGGTAAAATACAGATATACAGATGCTATCAAGGAAAAATAATTTAGTGGGAAAAACAATTTAGTCTCTAGTTCAGTTTGTTTTTCATTGATATTTCTCATAAAAGTATTTACTGCTTCGAATTTTCAAAACGAAAACAACAAACTAAATTAAGTTCTTATTCCAACATACATTCGTATAGCAAAAGTGAAAAAAAAACAACAGTGATAAATGCGAATACAGATTTGTTGCTAATCATGTTTTATTTTAACAGTCCCCAAAAAGCAGGATATTTGAGATCATCACATCATCATTTAGAAGCATCTAGACGAGCAAGAAAAAGTGGTAAAGGGAGGGGGCGTATTAGGTGCTTATCTTCCCCAATTCTGTAAGCCAGATGTGTTCCAAAGTATTCCTAATTGTTGAGACAATCATATGTACAATGATATAGATATAGAAAGTACACTGCGTTTGATACGACCGCGCCTCCGCGTAACAACTAATACAACCAGTTTGGTACTATTTCATGGTGTCCATTTTAGCCAGTTTCAATTGACACGAAATGCACTTTAATTGGTGTCAATCGCCAGTTCGTATTTTGTGGTATGTTTCATGCCAGCGACGATATTTGGTATCAGATGTTACAATGTACACAAATTTTGAGTGTAGTTTGAAAATCAACATCCTTTTGCTTTCTTAAATTTTCGTTCAGCAATCCATATTACGGAATGATAATTCTTTAGTTTTAGCTAAAACTGAACACAGTTCTAAAAATAGAAGCTTTTCCAACGTTGGTACAAAAATTTCCAAAAACGGCTTTAAACATTTATTTTTCAACATGGATTCCGAAGAGGAGCACAGGTTCAGTATGTCGCCTCCAGAAAACAACAACGACCCTGATACGAATTATGTCGATGGGGAATCTTTGCCGTCGAGTCAAAACAGCATTGAAAGCTTAGATGATGAAAACTCTCCTGCTAATTCGACAACTTTAATGGATGATATACAACCACAAAATCATAATTCTGTGGAACTTGATCAGTTCGGCCCATTTTATCAAGCCACTCCAGATTCATTCAATGACCAACAGAACCAGGAACCATTGCGACCTAGTGCAAATTCAAATCATGAAGCAATTGAAATGGCAATCTATTATCTTAATAGAGCTATATCAGAAACAAAAGCCACACTGGCCGAAGGAGAAAAGCAAAATTACAGAAAACAAATTCTAAACTCCTTGGATTTACTTTCACAAACAATTGATACAGATGCTTCACAAACACAAACTAGTTCCAGAAGTATCCGAAATTTCGAAAACCAATCAACTACAATTCAGTTACAAAATGATATCAACCCAGAAGAACAAAATGGGGAAGGCTCAATTTTGCCGCAAGGTCAAAATCAACTGAGAGAGAATAAAAAAACGGCCCATAAGATCGTCGATATGGAAACAAATATAGACACTTTGGAAGTGATATCCAAAGACAATGAAACCTCCAGTTTCAGTTTGCGTACACATGGTGGTTATGCAAAAGTCTTGTTTTATTTCGAATTTGAAATTATACATTCGCCGACCGATTTGGAACCTGTGTGTAAATCCGTTCGAGCAAATATAGGAAAAACTGTAGCTGGTTTGGTTATACTTGTAGCTACAATTATATTTAAAGAGTGGTATGACCTAAACAAGGTGTTTACACGCCTCACCAATTTCATAATTAAAGTGCGTCGACGTTTACATTACCGGATACAACAAGTTGTCTTGAAAATCTTACCCTCATGGCAGCAAGAATGACGGCTTGGATATGTTCTCATGTCAAATTGAAAGCAAATAGAAACCGGATTGAATAACATCTAACAATTATCATCTTTATTATTCCTAATTTTTGCTAGAGCATATATGCAATTTGAATAATGAGACTTGTTATGACTTGTAATGAGAAAATGGTTTATTTAATTACTCTGACTTTGAAAATACTTTCCTTACAGAATTCTTACTCATATATTTTATCAAGAGAGCATTTAATTTAATAAACTTTCATTCATTGCCTAACCTTTATCACACTGATCTCATCAGTCAAAGTCAAAAAAATTAGTGTATAAACTTACATTTCGAAACATATGAGCTATCTAAAAAAACTTGAGCGCAGCCATCAAAAAAAGTACACGAATATGGGAATCAATTCAATTGACCAAATTTTTCAGACCACATTTAAAGAAACTTTATGACACTGGACTTGATGACGATGAAATTGAATATCACATTTTTACGTCATTTTAGCGTCATTATTCAGCAAAAATCTCATTCTTGCGGTTTCAACCTACTTCAATTACATTTTTATCTTATAAAATTTCAATTTCACATATCGCTTATATTATTTCTTTTAAATGTTGGCTTTTATCTATGTGATCAACTTGCACAGCTATCAGTGTTTAAAAACGAAATTCAATTTCGCGGGAAAATTGGAGAAGAGACCATTTCGCAGTTTCAAGTACAATAGGATATATTCTGGTCTGGTACCACATGGAAAAGACAAAATAGCTGGTTTCTTTGAATTCAATTTTTCAAACCACATGAATTTTCAAAAAAACCTGTGTGCATTAGTTATTCAAAATGTGCATTAACTAAAACACGAAAAAAAATTTTCTAAGGGATCTTTTGTGCTAGTTAATGCGCATTTTGGGTAATGCGCAAATTTTTGCCTGTTGGTTTTGAAATTTTTTCTTTGAGATATTTTAAGTTTGAGTTCATGAAATTAATATCCTTCAGATTCTTTAAAAATACAACCTTTTTTGTAGACAGCGTTTGAACAGCAAAAATCAACGGGCGAAAGTTTTGATAAGCACTACAAAAAAACTCGTTTTTCTTCGTTGAAGCTTTGAATTACTTGATAAAAACATGCTTTCAAAAAACCTAAATAACTCAACATTATTTCGGTCAAAATTAAATTAGTTCACTTAAATTAAGGCAACATCCCTTCAATTTGCAATTTTGGATTTTTTTACTCGGATTTAACTTTCAGACTAGCATAAACATGTATCAATTTCATTTTACTAAACAATTTAAGACTAGCTCTGTCCTTTTCACACTAGTTAACTTGCTTTATGGCGACATTCCTTGCATTAACATTTTTATCACGTGCTTTATTTAGTTAGTTTCGGATTTATAAACATCAAAAAGAGTCAATGAACGCAAGAAAACAGAAAAAAAACGGACTCGTTTTTCGAAACGCTCAACTTTCGATTTTAAAATAAAAAAGGCCCTAAAGCCCTTCAAATTTCAAGCACACTTTATGAGTGACCTTTTTTTGGTAAATTTAGCTGAATTTATAAAAAACTGGATTGATAGATGAATTTTTTAGTTCGCTGGGAAATGTGAAAATTAAACCCGACTTACGAAACTAGAAATTGATCACGTTTTTCGCGACCGTTTTCTATTTTGCTGCTCGACAGAGGAAATGTACTGAACTTTAAAAATTTTAAACTGAGCCTGCATCAACTTAAAGAAAACGAAAAAATCATCGGGACCTATAAAACAGTCTGAACTATGTTCATCGACTCTAAATAACTTCTGTTTCCACGCGTAAAAGCTGCAAAAAGTACAAACAAATTCAAGCGCAATGAATTTGTCTGGCCAATCGAGGGGCCGTGTTTCAAGACATTCTACAGCTAGTAACCAAATTGATCACCACTTATTCTCTCCAACTTTCTTGCACGAGACTGAGATTAATTCCAATGAACATCTGTTATCTTTTCCTCAGAGCTGGCTATTTCCCGCAATTATAGAATCAGATTTACAACATATGCTTGTAAATGAACCTGTCACTGGCGGATTAAATGCATTAAATAACCCGCAAGCTTACAAAAATCTAAATCGAAAGCAAGGATGTTTACATCTCGAATAGCATTTGATCTTGTGTTTGCAATGGTTACATGCTCGCAATAATAAACCTTTCTCGTCTTATTTGCGTTATTTCCTGGAAAACTTGAATATCAAAAATTGACTTGATCATCCAAAATTTTTCAATTTGTACTCGAAATGCGCTATTGTTACTAATGTTGAAACGGGTTACTTCAAACGAAAATAGAAGAAAAACTTGCTGCGAAAACCAACTTGCAGTGTAGTTCACGTCATTTGCTGCGAAAACCAATAAAACTGAGGTACAATCAAATATAGCCAACAGACAGTTGAAAAAGTCAATGAACGCAAAGAAACAGGAAAAAAAACTATGAGGTATTTTCTATATATATGAGGTATTTTCGGCTTTGTAGCTTGCGAACAGCAAGAAACTTTTAGGTAGGATTTGGCGACTAAGCCGACAAAACAAAGGCAGACAAAGAAACAGCCGGCAATTTTTTCTGAAACGGAATATTTCCTGCTTAAAAAAAACAGGTTCCCTCAGGTTCGAATTCAACACTTTTGCCGTCCCAGGCGTATTCTTTACCTGCAGGTTAACTGTGCCGGGAACGCTAACAAACTTCATGAAAAAAGCTGAAACTTACCAATTCTAATTTTGTCCATTCTGTGAGCAGTAAATTCCGGGGAAATTGTCTAGAAAGCGACAGCATTATCCTTGCTCATCGCCATGGTAAAGACAACAAAAGTCAAACTGCGACAAATGAAATAATTTGAGCGAGAATAAATTTTAAGTCTTTTTCCTAAAAAAAAAAACATCACGATCTATATTAGTGTATTCACTACGTTCATTGACTCTTGAAAACGAGCAAACCCAATTCCCCAGGGGAATCAAATCAACACAGCAGATGAAAAAATACATGGATACACAACACATGAAACTTTGATGATGTTAATCATACTCTTTTTCGTGTTATATGTCAACATAGTTCAGACGCCAAAACTACATTTACATCAACCCTTTTTAATATCTGGCGGTGCTAATGACATCAAAAAATACACACAAGTTCTCCCTAAATATTTAATAGTTTGGTAAAAGAGTTAAGTTCATTTTGCGGTCAGATATTGCTGTTGGTAGGTCGCTGTTTCTTTTCGAGTCTGTGCAAATACAGGTCAAATTTCTTGAAAAACATTTCTTGAAAAAACATGTCTTCACACAATAACTTGAAAAACATTTTAGCTAACGATGGCCAAATAGCAATTATCAAGCACTGAGTCTGACTATACTACTAAGTCTCGATTTACGAAGTGGAAATATGGTTAACTATTTGGATGGCAACTTGGTACCAAAGGAGGGATAGTAAAAGAGATCCCAATTTAATTGTAACGTAAATGGGTCTTAAATACTTGAATGGTGATGACAGACTGTTGTTTATTCGGATGCTGCTTCTTTAGTAATTTATTCAAAATACATATCAGTTTTTCAGCAGTGAAGTTCACAATTATGTTCGTTAGAGAAAGTTGGAAAATTTCAGTTAAGGCAGTGTTTTTCAACAATAGCACTTAGTTCTCATAAGTGAGATTGATTATGAATTGTTTTAAAACTTCAGAGCGTTGCTCATCATTACGGCATTCGTTATATAAATAAAAATGACACTGGCAGAAAAATTATCTACATATACGCCATAAAAATATTTACATATCTACAAAAAAAATAAAACAAACTCATTTTGCTTGGTTAGAAAACATTTGAAGAAACTATATACTTGAAAAACATCGTTTTCACTTCAACTGAATAATTGAACATTAGCTCTGTCGACATACTGAGATCTAAATGTTAGTGTATTTGTCCGTACTATTTTAGCAACAGATTCTCAAATCCAATTATTTATTATTTGAACTACGGCGACACGAATATAAATGTGTTTAAAAATGGGAATATAAACTATTTCGCTATTGTCACTTCTAAATGAGTTTTGAAGCGTTTCATAACTGCATATACATGCTCATAGATGCCTAAAAATTAATTTGATGGCATCAAAAAATTACTCCAAGGCATTGCATGAGAAATTTATTAGCCTAAATCTTCATAATCACACGTGCGACACAGCATAGCATAGCAAACCAGCCGACAGAAAATGAGACAACTTTCACATGTTTGTCTCGACTTGCCTTGAACATATTTTCTATTTAGCGAAAAAGACAGGTCAGTTAGCAAAACTTAATGTTTAATTAGCATCGGAATAAATTTACGAAGCTGTAAAAACGGAACAATAATTGAAAACTTACAGAGTGAATGACAAAACGAATGATAATACTACTTTTTGATATTTTAAGAACTATCGAAAAAAAGCCGATCAATTTCTAGAAATTTACAAACATGCTAGCACGTATCCCATTAGCATTAGTTATAGCTTTCCTTTTTGGTAATTTTTTAAAATGTCCATTTTTGGCTGACCGACCGTAAAGTTGTTCTAAAGGCGCCTTCGCCAATATAACCTAATTTTGATTCATAGTTTAGTTCAAATGGGTCATTACATAGATTTGGGAGAGCTCGGACAATTTAATAAGGGGAAACTGTAGAATAAGCAGACGCCCCACCCAGCCGAACTGTGTTCTCAACCCTACCACCTGATCACAAGCCATGCTTTGTCCAATTCTTCCTTTTTTTAATGAGATTCATCCCGTAGCTGGAATCGAGTTATGATGTGTCCCAAAACATGAAGTAAAAACTTTTGTCTGACTAATTGATAGAGCATTTTTCCAGTTAGTTTTTTCTAATCAATTTGCACAAACGTTTGCTGGAAATCATGATCTACTTTCATCAAAAACACCATCAACGCAAAACTTTCATATCATCTTGTATTGATAATTGAGCATACCATTTTTCGGATTTTTTCTGTCCCTAAAGTGAGTGAACTTAGTTTCTTCCGGCGAAAGCTACTGTTTTGAGGTGCGTCATCAGTCAAAAATAATGTCAACAGAAAAACGCAATTAAAAATGAATGTACTTTTCTCCCGGCTGTTAGAGGTTACGAATGCTACCTACATGGGACCACAAGAGACCCAAGGAGCATCCTAAAATGTATGTAATGGTCGGCTAAATTTTCGACAATTTTAAACGCTCTCCTTCTCCCCCTCCCTCCCTCCCCCGATAAAATCCTAGACTTACTCCTGAACATAACTCAGTTTGAAAAACCGTAACCAATAACGATTATCAATTGTGAAATCTTTTGAGAAAAACTGGCACCCATTTTCCTGCGATTTGTCAAAAGATTTCCTGAAAAAAAACATGATGTAGCTTATTGTACCATTGCAATTATTTTACTACTATGTCGCAACCGCGCTTCGCAGATGCATTTTTCGCATAATGTCGTGGCACTCAATTCTTGACAATGATATACAGTTTGTCTTTTGTTCAAAATTATCTGGCGAACAACTCACATTTCCCGCGTTCATCAGAGCATCATATCTTTTAGTGCTTTCCATTATATCATTTTAATCAAATTTTTTAAGCTATTTTTCAAAAGAAGTATAATTTTGATAAAGAAAAACTTATTTTTTATTTAAATTTTTTAATCAACATTATTTCATTGAAACATAAAATTTGCCAGCCCTGTATTCTTCAAACTAATTGTTACAAAAACTAAAGGCAATGAATTCTTCTGCTGATACAAATGGCTGCGGTTCTAGTAACTCATCCTCCAGTAATGACGAGGAACGCGATTTAGTCAGTCCAGAATCATTACACCTCAGTTCCGGTGAGATAGGTCCTGATGATGCACTCGAATCATATTCGCCGAGAGAACCAAATACCCAAATTATATTACAACTTGGACAACATATCAATAGCGAATATCACACGGAAACATTTGATTTGTTCCCCCAGGAAGTTCTGAATATACCCTCAGTTACTCGACAAGATGAAGAACCGTTGAGGAGAACTCAGCAGCAATATGCGAGGATTCTAGTCGGGAATCTAAGGAGTGTACTGCAGCGAAATCGCAACTTGGGAATCAGTGATTGGTCTTTTCTCCAGGAAGAATTGCAGAACTGTTTGCACTTGGTCACCGGTCCTGGTGACGAGTCAATATTTCAACAAACTAGTAGCGATTCGGCTACAGTTTTACCAAATCAGGACGAAAACTATCAACTTGGTGAACGACAGGTGAACCAAGAAATAATGCAGGAAGACATGGAGTATGGGAACGCGCAGGAAGAGAAATTCGAGGAAGCAAATTCGAAGGAAAAAGAAATTGGAGATGAAGAATACATTATCGCAGCCATCATGAGAGTGGCCACAATTTCAGCCAAACTAGTTTTGAAAACTAGAAATATATTTCTGAACCTGGCAAAATGCTAAAACGAAAAGAATTGGCAAAATAAACCAAATAGACTTATAACTTGAGTTTTTTAAGTTATACAGTGAATTTTTTTGGACAACTGGTTAACAGCACTCAAAACTGAGTGGTTGAAATTAATCCGGATAAAAAAAGTCCCAGGAAAATGTTTTGTTTCAAATCATGCAGTCGCTCATTTTAGTTTTGTACTAGGACAAACTCGGATGATTTCCACTGATTGACCTAGACATATCTAAATAAATAATCTCAAAATCATCTGACAATCGTTTTCAAAAATTATTCTGTTAAATCAAATAATCTTTCCATTCTTTTTGAAGTAGAACGCAAGTCAAGAAGGCAACCTCGGCAGTTGAAGCCAGAACAACAACTGAGTTCGAGGCTAGATTTGAAGCCAGAAAAAGTTTGAATTGGAGGCTGGAGTTCAAGGTTAATTACTCATAATAATAGTTAAAGTGGTTTCTACGATTCGCACATGATCTTTGAATAGCTATCAAGCATGTCTAAGCGTATTCAGTTTCTAATCTTTCCCCATTGACAGCCTGAGTATTTTAAAGCGCGAAGCTCTTTTGCCTTTCAAGACTGCTGTTTTTGCGACCAGAACCTCTCACGTGGCACCATTTTTGGGGCCAAAATCGGTCAAGTTGGAAAGACCTGAACCCGATCCGACGATCCCAAAGTGAACGTGTTGCCATAATTCTAAGAGACATTAAACAAAACTAGTGAGTATTTGCACCTCCGGTGCTTTAAATTTGTAAACTATGCGAAGAAGCAACGAAAGTTGTGCAACCGCATGGAAAAACTTGCGCATCCAATAACGCTTTCTTTTTCCTCAATTGAACTAGTAAAAAAATCTTAATTTAGGGTTATTTAACTAAAATAGTTTCATCTGTATAGTATCAGAACTGGGAAAGAAGACCCTAAAATAGCCTAGCAAGCGAATTATGTCAGCAAATTCTTAACTAGTCGCTTAACTTGGTAATTTATTTTCCTTTGCCCTTACGTAAATTAATTGCTATCATCAATCGTTTACTCCAATGTAACAAACAGTCTGGAAAAACATCAGATTTTTTACTTCATTGAAAAGGTTTGTGAAAATATTTATATCTAGGAAATTAAAACTTTTGAGGAATCGTAATTATAGGCCAGATGAGCATCGCTTGGGAGTTCCATCACAGCTCCATACCATAGGGTTGAATTTTCAAACTTCACAAATCATTTGAAACGAAAAATTTCCAAGAGTGACAATATTTGAGCAGTCAAATATTCTGGATGCCACATGTGCGATCCTTAAGAATACTTTGAAATCACTCTCACCATAGGTTCGAGGACACAGGCGGACCTGTAATTTTCTCATGAAGGGCGAAATTCAAAAATTTTGTCGATCTTTTTCTAGGTTGATCAAATTGTTTCCGAGCGCTCCTGAAATACTATACACACCCTCTTTTAGGAAAATTTTCTGCTCCAAAAGCAATTTTTTTGAAAACAAAAGTCTAAATAGCCAGAAAATGCCAAATATTTACATACTTGAGTCACAGTTTAGAGCGCCTTTGTTTATTTTTATTGGAACCTTTTATCCTGACAGAAGATTCATTTATTCGAAATTCCCATCCGATCAAAATCTGTAGATTGTTCGAAACTCTGATTAACTTCACAATTTTGTGTTATTAGGTCATTCTGCCATGAAGTATTCCCTACTTTTTAAAGGATGGACGGCTTAAAACAATGTGCCGATAAAACGATGATAAAAACATTCCATTTTTAGTAGAAATTCA